TAGTGGCCCACTACACAGTGGTAATTACCATCGGCGGCGTTGTACGATTTGAAGAAGGACGGATACCGCGGCTCAAAGTCGTAATCCTCCTCGAAAGAGACGACGTAGAGGCTGGCGAGGAGGGCAGCCGGCAGCAGGAGCAGCACGACGCCCGGTCGCCGGCGGAGACAGTCGACGACGAGCCAAGATCCTCTCTTGGGCTTCCGCGAGGGGTGTTGGTCGTTGGCTGCGTCGTTGGCGGTGTCTGCGACCGGCTTCGGCGTTCGCGGGACCATATTTTTGCGCGCTTCCTCGCTGCTGTTGCTGCTGCTACTATCGTGCGTCGCCTCGACGCGACCGATCGCACGGTCATCGAGCTCGCTTCCCGACGAATTTCTCGTTCACTACGTCGTCCGTAACGCGAAACGTACCACAGACGTTCTTCCAACTTGCCTACACGTCACCGCCACCCTCTTTGTGGGAGGCGAGAGTGTGGAGGTGTCTCGCGTGGTCGTGGAAACTCGGCGTGACGTGGTTGGGAACGCGGCGTTGGCTATCGACGCGACGCGACGCGACGTGGCCACCCCACCGGCACTGCCGGCACGCTTCGCGCAGATGCGCGCATCTCCTCGAATTTCGAATGGAAACGTGGCCCAATCGAATTTCCCGCATCTCGCGAGCCAGCGGATTAGGAGGAGAGGGTTGGTAAACGCGCTGTTGCTGCTGCTGCAACGCGCGTTCAAGGGCAAGACAGAAAAAGAAAAAGAAGAAGAAAAGGAGGGAAAATTTATTCGAATCTATCGGTATATAAAATACACAGAGAGAAGAGTGGTCGTTGTCGTGGTCTTGTCGCCGACTCGTTCGGTCCCATTAGCTAATTTCTCCGACTTCTCTATGCTTCTTGTCCCGATCAGGCAAACGGCGAACATCCTGAAGGCAACGACACCAAAGACGATTAGAAGACGCGTAGATAGATTAGAAACGCGCGATTACTCGCTATTCGCTTTCGTTTATTCCATGCGGAAGGGATGAAATGTTTTTCTTTTTCGAACGCGTTGCTTAAAGCTACTAACAAAGTGCTACTAACTGCAAACGGAACAGCGTTTCTCGTCGGAGCCGTCGCCGCAGCCGTCGCGGCCGCTGCACACGATCGCGTCCGATCGACATCTGCCGTTGTCGCATCTAAACGGACAGTATTTCGACGACAGTCTGACGGCCCGATGGCTGCCGATCTGCCTGCGGCACGCCCCTCTTGGCTCGTCGCTTCCGTCCCGACACGACACCACCGCGTTGCAGAACTCGTACGCCGGCAAGCATTGCCCGTTGTCGCATCTGAACGCTCCTCTCGGACACTCTGCGGCAAAATTTCGTCTTTACTCTTGCATGCATCGCCGCGTGTTTTAACGTCATAATGCAGCGGGCCACAGTGTGCACGTTTCATGAAACGTGCAAGTGCATCGATTTCTAGGTTTCACGATGCTCACGAGGCGAGCAAACTCTCTCACTCTAATCTCGTGAAACCTGCAAGTTTCGTAGGCTTTTCTTCTGTGTTGGTGTTGTCAGGTTCAATTCCTTACTCTTTATGATCAAAATCCTGACAATCCAATCATTGACAGCAACATCGAAATTAGAAGGTGATCCAACGTCTACTTCTACTCGTATTTGGCTCTGATTCTAATTTCACGAAACAACCGAGAGAAGTCGCATGTCTCAGCCTGTGTATGGACATACGTTTAGAGTCAGTTTGCCTGCCGATTCGCCAACTTACGAGCTACGTGCTGCGCGTCGCGAAACCTACAGATGCATCGGACCTAATGTAAATGGATGTCTATTACATGGATCGGACCTAACCTAAAATGGATACTTATTACATGGATCGGACCTAACCTACAATGGATGTATATTAGGACCTAACCTAACCTAAAATGGATGTTTATTACATGGATTGGATCTAACCTAAAGTGGTTGTATATTAGGACCTAACCTAACCTAACCTAACCTAAACCTAGAATAGATGTTTCAACGCGTCAACGCGACCAGAGAGAACCTACTTCGTCGATCGTTGCATCCCGCCTCGTCCTCGCCGTGCGGACAGTCCTGCTTGCCGTCGCAGATCGCCGCTCTCGACACGCAGACGGCGTTGCTGACGTTGCTGCACCTGAACGCCTGTTCCGGGCACTCGGCCCCGTTCCAGCATCGTTCGTCCGAACCGTCGCTGCAGTCTGGCCTTCCGTCGCACACGAAGAACCAGCTGACGCACTTGCCGGAGCTTTTGCATCGGAAGCTGCCGGCCGGGCATCCGGCGTTTCTCGCCGAGCAGCTGCTTCCGTTCCCTCGGGACACACAGTCGCAGATACCCTCGACGCACCTCGAGTACGGATCGGCCAGTCGACACTCCACGTCGGAGACGCACTCGTGTCCCAGAGTGACGGCCGACGGCCGACGAGCAGCCTCGCTGGTCGACTCTGCCTCCGAGAAAAATAAATTTTCTTTTTTGCAACACCAAAAGTGTTGGCACCAAGCCAAGCTGGCCAAACTGTGTTTGAATTTTTACAGTTTTCTTTTTTTTTTTTTTTTTTTTTTTTTT